GTTTTTATATTTTTATAATTTATTTTATTGATCACAAATTCCCTTTACAGTAATAAGAAATTACTTTTATGCTAATTTTGTCAAAACTTTAGTGGGAGGCATTGTAATTATATACCTGAATCACCTCAACTGACTCATTGTGATGTAAAGGAGCAACAACTTTACTCCATGCTACTCCCGATGGAGTTCCTCACTCTATTTCTAGCCTTAACATGACCACCCATTTGGCTAACACAAGGAGGCTTGTATTAGCCACTTGTTTCTATGACCTTATTCTGTCTTGATCTACACATAACTATATACACTCATTACTGCAAACAAGGCCCCAGAACATCAGTCCATCTCCTGTTCGCTTGAGGCTGACTCACCTTATACGTAAAGGAGGAAGATTTGATAATCAGTACTAAATATATTATGTCCAGTATTTATTTGAAAGAGTGGATCCAAATACTAACTTCTTTTTTTTTTCTTCTGTAGAGACAGTACCACTCCCAAATTGACCATCTTATTGAAGAGACAGTGAAGGAGATGATAACTCTGCTGGTTGCTAAGGTAATATTAATTAGAATATACTTTTTTTACCATAATTAAAAATGAGCATACAAAGGCACAAGACTAAAATTACCAGAATAGTTTCTGCCAGTGTTTTTCAACCCTGGTCCTCAAGGCACACTGCCCAGCATGTTTTAGATGTTTCCCTGCTTCACCACAGCTGATTTCAGTTTGTAACTGATTAGTAGGCTTTTGTCATCTGAATCAGGTGTAAAAAAGCAGGGAGACCTCTAACCCCAGATTTACACTACATGCGTCTCTGCTCCACTGCGCTGCGGTGCGCACTTCGCAGCTGTTCTTTTGCAACCCAATTTATACAGCCTCCGCTCTGCTCATCTCCGCTCCGGTCCGACAGACAGAGGAGGGAGCGTGTGCAGGAAGGAGATTATGTGATAAATCCAGTAATAAATGTGGAAGTCAGAGCAAACAATAATGAATTCTGAGAAAGATGAACTCAAAACACAGCTTAAAACATTGATATAAAAGCTTTTGATATGTATGGTTGAAACTGTATCACTGTCRTCTTTTTGAAACTTCTGATTTCAAAATAAAATCGTGTGTGTACACATATGCTTCATCTATATGTTGCCATCTGCTTCCCAAACAGAATGATACATTCTGACAGCATTTGTGTAGAAATATTTCCATATATTTATTAATATAGCTGCAATTTCAACAAAATTATGGTGTCTTATTTTGTAAATACGGATGTTGTGCTCATTCCTCTTCCTGTTGGTGCGATGTAATCTTAAAAATTGACACCGGCGCAGCTCTGCCGTCCGGCAGAAATAGGATTGTCTGTTGTTCTGTGTTTTCTGTGTCACCATCTCTCAGTTCTCATCAGCTTGTTTTTCTGCYTTTTCTCAGTTYATCATCCTCACCTGTCTGTGATCACCATTCAGTCTTCCTTCCAGGTGTTAGTCATTTCCTCTCTCCCTCTGTTTGTATAAATACTGGTCATGTCTTCCATTTCCTTGCTGGATCATTGTATGGCATCGTCCATCTGTCTCGTTTCCCTGTGTTCCTCCATGACTCCTTGTGGTTTAATTTATTTGCTGCCCCATCAGCCTTTTTTTGTTACATAAATTTCTTTATTTTAACTCTTATCCTCCATCCGGACTTGGGTTCATTCTCCTGCATTAAACCTGACAAAGACTAAACTTCAGACAGAAAGGCCCACAAATAAATAGCAACTGAAAACCGCTCTAGTGAAGGCCTGGCAGAGCATTAAAAAGGAGGAAACACAAAATCTGGTGATGTCCATGAGTTCACGACTTCAGGCAGTCATTGCCAACAAAGWGTTTTCAACCAAGTACTAGAAATAAACATTTTATTTACAATTATTTAATCTGTCAAATTACTTTTGAGCCTCTGGAATGAAGGGATTGTGTTTAAAAAATGCTTTAGTTCCTCAGTTTTTTATGCAATCATTTTGTTCAAACCACTGAATTAAAGCTGAAAGTCTGAACTTCAACTGCATCTGAATTGTTTTGTTTAAATTTCATTGTGGTATGTCTAGAGTCAAAATTAGAAAATGTTGTCTCTGTCCAAATACATATGGACCTAACTGTACGTG